ATGTTTGCAAAGAGTTTACAATACTTTTCAAAATGTCATGTTGATTTTTTTTTTCTATCCACATATCCAAGAGGATAAAAATTACGAAATTAAACATAAATAGAAATACAAGCCTTAAGAATTCTGACATTGAAGGCATATATAACAAGGTTTGAAGAAACATTTTAGCTTACCGTATTCAAAAAAAAAAAAATTTGAGTTCCACTTTAAAGTTTATGTTTTAGCGGCTTTTATATGAATTTGTCTACATGCTAAAAAACATAAATAGATATTAATTTACAAAGGAAACACTGTTTATTAAAGTAAGTATGTCAATTGCAAGATTTTCAATGAATTATGTTTTAGAAATTTGTAAGTTAGATTGCATGAATCCTTCTTTAGATAGAATGTTACCTCAATCACGTGTTTAAGAAATGGAGAGATAACAATCTATTTGAAAAAGAATTCATGCAATTTTACAAATTTCTAAAACATAATCCACTGAAAATTTTGCAATTGAAGTAGTTAATTTAATAAACAGTGTTCCCTTTGTAAATAAATATCTATTTATGTTTATTTTCTTAACTTTTATTCTCTTGGATATGTAAATAGAAAAAATATATTTAAACATGACATTTTAATCAGTGTTTTCCATGTTAACGAGTTGGTTCTATAGAGACTTTCCATATCGATATGTTAGTTTCCCACAAAATCTCTAGCTGTGTAAGATCTGTACATAGATTTGTGAAGCTCACATGATATGTAAACTAACTATTTATCTCGTATCTATCCTCCAGTCTCCCAAGTACATCCACAGTTGAAGTGACTAGGAAGCTTCCATATGGGTCATCCAAACTTAAGACTGCTCTAGAGATCCTATCGGATGGTTTGGTTTAGAGAGGAGTAAAGGCACTGGTTTTTCTCAATGGAAAAAATATGCTAGACCTGCTTGAAGATGGACAAAGATGCTACCGCATTCATGCTAAATGCAGATGGTGCTTATCTGGCACACCAATGCAGAATTCCATTGATGACCTCTTCAGCTATTTCAAATTTATCAAATCTGAACCCTATTCTAGTTACCCAGTCTTCTGTGATAAAATTAAAAACGAGATCCTGAAGAACCCAAGGGAAGGGTATCAGAGGCTTGCGGCTCTGTTGAAAACAACCCTTCTCAGAAGAACAAAATGTTCGTCGTTTAAAATTTGATTAGATATTTGGTCAAGGTTTTTAACGTTTTCTAATAATGTTTAGATTCGACAATTGATGGAGAACCAATTCTCGCTTTACCTCCCAAGTCTATTGATGTGATGAAAGTGGAGTTGAGTAAAGAAGAAGTTGATTTCTACAAGGCGTTAGAGGAGGATACAAAGGGAATCTATAAGGTATGACACCTGTAATCAAGCTTTGACACCTGTAATCAAGCGTATACTCTTTGTTGATATAGATGATGGTAATATAAATATGCATATAACGTTTTATCAGGAAACAACTGGAATGGAGAACAGAAATGGTAAAGAAGCTTTGGGGATGCTGCTTCGTCTTCGTCAAGCTTGCAATCACCCTCTTCTCGTATCCTCCAGTCTCCCAGCCACAGATGCAGTTGAAGTGGCTAGGTTGCTCCCATATGGGTCATCCAAGCTTAAGGCTGCTCTAGAGATCCTATCAGATGGTTTGGTTGAGAGTGGAGTAAAGGCCTTGTTTTTTTCTCAATGGACAAAGATGCTAGACATGCTTGAAGATGGTCTTAAAGCATCTTCCTTACAATATAGGAGATTTTATGGAAATATGTCCATGGAAGCCAGAGATAAGGCAATTGGTGACTTCAATACCCTCCCTGAGGTAATTTATTTTTACTTAGACATGATATGAGTGTTTTAAAAAATTTAACACAATAATAAGTATATATATTTAAAAAAAGAAAAAATAAGTAAAAAATAAGTATATATTTTGATAAAAAAATATTTTACATATATCTTATATATTAAAACAGAAGTCATGACTTGATTTCATGTGTGATTTTTTAAAAAATGGACTGTTACTAGAAAGTTATGTTACATTAACTCTCTAATAATATTATCATTATTTTATCTTATAATATGCTTAACAATTTTGTTTGGGTAAATTACCCCACACCTTCCAACTTAATCACGCAAAATATGTCAATAGATATAAATTTAGGAATCTTCTATTATTTATAAGGAAATATGTCAATAATAGTTAAATGCATCCTGAATATATTAACAAAAATCACAGATTATTAATATGTAATATTTATATACCTTAACAAAATTTATACGTTATATATATTAGATAAATTTATTTCGATGTAAAATTTTAAAATTGTATTGTTTAAAAAAAGAAATTGTTTAAAAAGTTCCTTTTTAATAAACTTTTTATAATATTAATTTATGAAGCTATAAGTTTAGTTTTTAGCAAAAAATTCTTCGAAGTTTATATTATCTTTGCAAATTAAATTACACTAATATTTAATCAAGCTCTATTTATATTACTTTATCTAAAAATGAAATACCAATCTAACAAACAATAAAATATAGAAGAAGAAACAAACACATGTTTGAAAGTCATGTATAATATAGAAAATTTGAAACAATCTATTTGATTAAAACACTTATTATATAATATTATTATGTTTGAAAAACATTTACTATACATATCGTAAATATGTGATTACTATAATATATACCAATTTACAAGTGAAAACAAAATGTT